AGAGGTGTCCCCCAGGTGTCCCCCAGGTGACAGCGGTGTCCCCGCAGGTGACAGAGGTGTCCCCCAGGTGACAGAGGTGTCCCCCAGGTGTCCCCGCAGGTGACAGCAGTGTCCCCCAGGTGTTCCCCAGGTGACAGCGGTGTCCCCGCAGGTGACAGAGGTGTCCCGCAGGTGTCCCCCAGGTGACAGAGGTGTCCCCCAGGTGACACAGAGGTGTCCCCCAGGAGACAGCGGTGTCCCCCAGGTGTCCCCGCAGGTGACAGAGGTGTCCCCCAGGTGACAGCGGTGTCCCCCAGGTGTCCCCAGGTGACAGCGGTGTCCCCGCAGGTGACAGCAGTGTCCCGCAGGTGTCCCCCAGGTGACAGCGGTGTCCCCCAGGTGTCCCCAGGTGACACAGAGGTGTCCCCGCAGGTGACACGCAGCGCTGGCTCCCCACGCCCCGCAGTTTGTTCTTTGTGTTCAACGCCTCGCGGCTGCGGGCGGGGCTGGGCCGGGCCGAGCTGAGCCGGGCCGAGCTGCGCATGCTGCGACAGGGGACGGCGACAGCGACAGCGACAGCGACAGCGACAGCACAGGGGACAGCGACAGCACCGGGGACAGCACCGGGGACAGCACCGGGGACAGCCGGGACAGCCGGCGTGGAGCAGAGAGTGGAGCTCTACCAGGTGAGTGCGCAGGGGACAGCCGTGGGGACAGCGGGGACAGTTATGGGGACAGCGGGGACAATGGGGACAGTTATGGGGACAGTGGGAACAGCCATGGGGACAGCCATGGGGACAGTGGGGACAATGGGGACAGCCGTGGGGACAATGGGGACAGTTATGGGGACAATGGGGACAGTTATGGGGACAGTTATGGGGACAGTGGGGACATTGGGGACAGTTATGGGGACAATGGGGACAGTTATGGGGACAGTGGGGACATTGGGGACAGCCATGGGGACATTGGGGACAATGGGGACAGTTATGGGGACATTGGGGATGGAGCAGAGAGTGGAGCTCGGTCAAGTGAGCACGGGGACATCGGGGGCATCTGGGGACATTTGGGAAGATTGGGGACATTGGGGACAGCCTTGGGGACATCTGGGGACATTGAGGGGACTGGGGACAGCAGGAGTGGCCACGGGCACAGCAGGGACAGCCATGAGCACATCAGGGACATTTGGGAGAGTTGGGGACATCGGGGACAGCCATGGGGACA